AAATCTCTCAGCCTCCCTGAGCCTGTTTCCTTATCTGTAAAAAGGAAGGGAAGTACCACTAATTGGATTGGGATGTGGATTAATGAAATGAGGAAAAAGGCAATTAAATACAGAGGTGAGTTTATTATGGTGTGTTGAGAGTGACATTGATGATGCCCACAGAGCTCTGTGGGCATCTGAGCAGCCGCCCAGGAAGTGCCAGATCTCAGACAGGAGGTGGGTCTCAGAACAGCTGAGCCACCAAGTCAAGAGAGGAATTCACCTTTGCTGAGTGATTACTATGCACTGGGCATTTTCCAAAGAAAAACTACCGTTAAATCCTCAAAACATCCCCGGCTCATTTAAACATCACAGTTTTTCACAGAGGGGAGAAGACTGGAGGCTGGCAGCTGGAAAATGGTGGGTAGAAGCCAGATGCAAAGTCAGGTCTGTCTGGCTTTTAAGTGTGGCCCTTTCCATTCCTTCAGGCCAGGAGGACACAGCAAGGGCAAAGGCTTAGCAGAAAAGGCAAAAGGAGTTCTCTCTGGCAGATGGCTCAGGGTCTGATGGTTTCACTTCTTAAAATGCATTACTGGCTCCCAGAACTTCCAGCTCAAGATCAAATTCCTTAGCTTCACACAAGGGGCCCTAGATAGAATAAGGACCCCATAACCCCAGGCAGTCATGGGTGGATGCCTTTGAGAATACAGTAACATGTCCCGAGTTCACTCCCTGTGAAAATGCATGTGTGAACATGAACACACACCTGTTACGCAAATTTCGGGGGTTTTGTGGATCCCTCCCAGGCTCTAGGGGCCATGGGCCCCCATGGCTGTAATGCTTGCTCTTCCTTATCTCCAACCCACATTTCCATTTTCCTCCCTCCACCCCTTCCCCGTGAGCTATCATCTCCATGAGAGCAAAGGTCTGGTCTGCTGTGTTCTCTGCTGTATCTCCAGCATCTGAAACAGCAGCTGGCACCTAAGAGGCACTCAGTAAACACCTGTGGGGAGAAGTATGAAGCCAGCTGCTTTCACACCTCCTTACCTTGGCACTTGCTGTTCCTTCTCGTGGGAAAAACAGATTCCTTTCTTCATTTTTAACATACTCGTTCATCCTTCATAACTCACCTCAAGTTTCATCTCTTTCTGGAAGCTCTGATCTCTTAGGCTGGATCAGGGGCCCTGCCCATGTACTCCTCACACCCCCACCCCCACCCAAACACTATTTTATCCTGAAATTAAACCTTCACACCAACCTAGAATCAGCAGTTTAGTTGCCTGCCCGCTCCACTCCCCATGAGCTAGAAATCTCTGGAGGGCAGGAGCCACGGGACCCATGTTGTGGATTATTTGTATGTCTGCTACCTATCCTGGGACCTGGCATGTAACAGCCCATGGTGAGCAAGTGTCCAATAAATTGAAGGGAGTAGTGGGAAATGGAGCTGGAAAAGTGGGCTGAGGTCAGCTTGAAATGATCTCTGCCAGACCAAGGTCTTCCCATGCTGTGAGATGGGTGACGGACACTCCTGGATTTAGTTTTTGCACTTTCTTTTGGTTTAGTTTGTTTGTTTCAGAGGAAGGATGGTGGCGTTTGTGTGTTTAATGAATAGAAGGGGATATAGTGGAAACAAGAGGGAATTCAACGCAATTAAGAGGCCACTGTAATAGTTCAGATTGAAAAATAGAGAAGGGAAGAGACTGAAGACACACTTCCATATCCAAATCAACAGGACTTATCAACCCCTTCTCCTGCTCCCAAAAGCGATCCCTTCCTGGGCTCTGTTCCCCGGACAGTACCTGGAGCTTGAGTAGAACAGTGCGATCACTTTGGATCTCCTGCGGGCTGCTGGCTTGAGTCTGCCTCCCAGCCAAGTGGACAGGAGTCCTGGCTCACGAGTCACAGGCTGGGTCCCCATCCTGGCTCTGTGGCTGATTAATTGTGTGATTTTGCCCAAGGGACTCACTCTCCTGAACTCCACTCTTCCAGTCTGTTATGTGCTGGAAATGACAATATTCAGTTCACTAGCTAGACATCATTTATTCAGCCAAACAAATAGTTACTATAAACCTTTGCATGAGGATTGTAAATAAAATGGTGCAGCCACTTTGGAAAGACAATTTGGCCATTCCTCAAATAGTTACAGAGTCACCACTCTGACCCAGCAATTCCACTCCTAGGTACGCACCCAAGAGAACTGAAACATGTGTCCACATAAAAACTTGGACACAAATGTTCATAGCATTGTTATTCATAAGAGCCAAAAAGTGCAAACAACCCGATTGTCTGTTAACAAATGGATCAACAAAATGTGATAACCTGACATACATACAAATGTATTATTATTTGGTCATAAAAAGGAGGGAAGTACTGGTACATGCTACAACATGGGTAGACCTTGAAAACATAAAGAAGCCAGACACAGAAGTCCACATACGATAGGACTGCACTTACAGAATAGGCAGAGACAAGAGACAGCAGTGGATTGGGGGGGGGTGCCAAAAACTGGGGAAGGGAGAAATGGGAAGTGATTGCTAATGAGTACGGGGTTTCTTCTTGGGGTGATGAAATGTTGTGCAACTAGGTAATGATGATGGTTATACAACTTTGTGAATATACTAGAATCCACGGACTTGTACACTGTGAAAGAGTGAATTTTATGATATGTGAATGATATCTCAGTTTTTGAAAAAATATAAAAACACCTTCATCTGCATCGGGCACTAAGGATTGGATGATGAATAAGACACAGACTCTATCCTCGGAGAACATAAAGTCTGGAGGGAGAGAGGCAGAGATGAATCAAATTATCACGTAGTAAGTGTCATTGCATCTAAAGGAAGTGCCACAGAAGAGAGAGGTATTGTGTTATAATGATCACTGGGGAGGGGGGTTTGATCTAGACAGGTGGTCAAGGAGGAGTCCTTAAAGCTGCTGTTCGTGTCAAGAGCTGAAGATAGCTTTCCATATCTGAATCGGTAGAATTC